ACCCAAAACTAAAATTAACCACACATTACTCTATAAAACCATAATACAACAATAAAAACCAACATCCTATACACAATACAATCCCCCCCCCCACCCCCACCCCACCAACAACAACCCCAAATCCCCCCCCCAATACATCCACATATACCAACAACCCAAAACCTCCAAAATAAATCTTTATTATTCTTATTTTCTTTCTCCTAACCTCTCCCTCCTTAAAACCCCCCTACCAACAATTCTACCAAAATATAACCAACACACACCCAACAACCCCCCAACAAAACCCCAAAATCCACACCAACAATTACTCACCATATAACAAACCACCCTCCTACAAAATACACACCATACACCAAAACTATAAATTACACTATCACAACCATCATAAAATCCCCCAATATATCATACAACCCCCAAACACCACAAAACCTACATCACCTCATATCTTCTAACTTATTAAAATCCCCCATTCCCCCTCCTAACAAACTATCACTACAATCTCTCTCTTCATTTCTCATAATCTCATTTCCTTTCTTACATCTACCAATCCCACCTCACATATATATATAAATTTATATATATACAACACCACAACCATATCCATACAATCAACCTCCCCCTATAACAATTCACCCTCTAAAAACCTAACTACTCACCATTCCCCAAACTAACAATTCACTCATTTATAAATTATATATAAAAATCACAAAACTAAAAATTCAAACCTCTATCATATAATTATACACCTACCCCTATCCCAAATTACCTCCTCTATCATTCAAAACATATTTCAATAATATCTTTTACACCACAACACATAAATTCATCCCCTCCCTCCTCCCCCTTTTAACTCCTATTCACACCCCAACTATTACCAACAAACCATACCAAATCTCCCTCATTACAAAAAAAAAACCAAACCCATACTTCTCCAACATATTATTTACCCCATTATTCTTTTATCATTCTCCTTTACCCCCCCTCTTACCAAACTAAACTACCACCCTCCTCAAACCCCCCTTAACTACCCCCTTTCAACCAAACAACCCCAACTAAAATATAATACCCAACCTCTATATTTCTCAAACCCTATATTCAACACACCCTCACATCTCCACAAACTAACAGTATCAAATATATACCTAACTCCCAATTCTTATTCAATCCATAAACATACATATACATAACAACCACAACCAACCAAACAACAAACACAACACATAATCCCCCCATTTCATTTCCCAAACTCATCCAACTCCTATCTTAACACCTTCATCATCAACAACATCAACAACACACCATACACTCCAACTCCTTCCTCTCAAACTCTATCATATAATACTCCTTCCCTCAATATCCTTCATCTTATACTCCCTTCCATCTTCATAATCACTTTCATCTCCATCTCTTATCTTATACTCTTTCATCTAATATCCATCATTCTAACATCACTTCATCTCATACTCCCCTTCTTAATATTCCTCATCTTATACTCACCATCATCATTATATCCTATCATTTATACTACTTCATATATATCAATATCTACAACTACTTCCTCTTCTAACTTTCATCTTAATACTACTTCATCTTAATAACCTTCATCTACTATCTTCATCTTCATACTCATCATCTCCATATTATTTTTTATTCCATCATTTATACTCACTAACAACTTAAACTCACTTCATATCAAACACATCCTCTAAATAATCACCTTTTTTACAAACACTTCCTAACACCCACCAACCAAAAAACAACAACAAAACAAATCCAACCAAAACAACAACACAACAAACAACACCACCCACCCCCCCCCCCAAATAAAAATCTTATACAACACAACAACCCCCAACAAAAACCACTCCATACAAAACACCCACAACAACCCACAACCCAACCACAACCCCCATCCCTACTAAACCTCCCCTAAACACACCCCACCAAACCAAACCCACACAATAACCCTAAACCACCTCTTCATCAAAACCCCCTCCCAAAACACACACCCTCCTTTCACCACACACATTACCTAACACCACTAAACATCACCCAACCCTCTTCATTAAACCTCCCTCTAAACTCTACACCCTCCCTTCAACTCAAACCCTCCCACAAACTAACCCACCTTCTTCAATCTAACCCTCATAACTCTAAACCTCCTCATAAACTAACCTCCTTTCAAATCTAAACCCTACTTCCAACTCTAACACCCTCCTCTCAATCTAACAACCTTCCACTTAAACCTTCCTTTCATCTCAACCCAACCCTTACAAAACACCACAACCACACCATCCATTACCAAACACCACCACATCAATAAACAACCTCACCCCCATAAACATCCCAACCACGATAAACCATACACACCACACACACACAACAACTTTCACACCCAAAACTCTAAACCACCCCTCTCCAACTCTAACCACCTATACAACACAAAACCCTCCTAAACTCAAACATCCTCACCAATTAAACTATTACTCTAAACTCATAACTACAACCACACTACAACATCAACACTTCACAACCACACACCCACCAATAAAAAACCTATACATCACATAAACCATCCCTCAAAAAAACCCAACTTCAAACTCACCAACCTCATATAAATCTAAACTCATTAAAACAAACCCTCACACCCATCACCACCACCAAACACTCTAAACACTACTCAACACTAAACCACACTCAACACAAAACCCTATCACTCACACTACCATACAACATAAACATAAACCTCCCTAACTTAAACCCTCCTCTTAACTCTAACCTCCTCATACAAACTCAAAACCTTCTTCACTACTACACCACCTTCCAACTTAAACTCCCTTACTCTAAACCTCCTTACACCCTAAACCACTCTTAACTTAAACCTCCTTAACTCAAAACTCCACTTAATCTAAACCACCACACACCATCTCACCACACCTCAACAAAACACTTCACTACTAACCCACCTCACAACACACCATAAACTCAAAACCCTCCCTTCCAACTCTAAACCTCTCTTCACAATAAAACACCACTCAACTCAAAACCTTTCTTTCACTCTAACCTCCCTCTCAACTCAAACCTCCTTAACTTAAACCACTCACCCTCTAAACCCTCCTTAACACTAAACCTCCATAACTCTAAACTCTAACAACACTAAACCCCTCACTCAACTCTCAACCACCTAAACTACTACCCCCTCCATAAATTTAACCCTCCCCTTTAACTCTAACCCTCCTCTTCACTCTAAACTCCTCATATAAACTTACATCCTTTCAACTCTAAACCTCTCTTAACTTAAATTTCTTAACTTAAACCTCCTCTCAACTCATACACATCCCCTTTAAACACAACCTCCTCTTATAATCTAAACTCTCTTAATTAACCCTCCTACAATAACACTCCTTCCACTCTACAACATCAACTCAAAACCTCCCTTCAACTCTAACACCCTTAACTTCAAACACCTCTCACACTAAAACCTCCTTCACATCTAAACCTTCCTTTAACTTACACCTCCTCTTACACCAAACACCCTCCCTTTAACTCTAACCCTCCCCTTAACCTCTAAACCCTCCTCTAAACTCTCAACCTCTCTCACCTCTAAACTCCCTAACTCTAAACCTCTCTTAACTCTAAACACTCCTCTAACTTCCCACACTAATCACTAAACCTCTCTCCACTTAAACCCTCCTCTTAAACTCTAACCTCCTCTCCACTCTAAACCTTCCATTCAACTCTAAACCCCCCCCCTTAACTCTAACTCCTTAATTAAACCTCCTCTTAACTCTAAACACCTCTCAACTCTAAACTCCCTTAACTCTAACCTCCTTAAATCTAACCTCCTCTTAACTCTACAACCTTCCTCACAACTCTAACCCTTCCTTAACTTAAACCTCCTCTTACCACTTAAAACTCCCTCTTAACTCTAAAACCTCCCTCTTAACCTAAACCTCCTTCATAACTTAAACCTCCTCTTCAATCTAAACTCCTCTTAAAATCTAAATCCTCTTAACCTAAACCTCCTCTTAACCCTACCTCCCTCTTATAATCTAAACCTACCTCTAACTTAACCTTCCCTTTCTAACTCAAAACCTCCTCTCCATACTCTAAACTTTCAAAAACCTAAACAACAACAAACAACAACACCACACCCATACAACCAATCCCTCACACAAAACAACAACAAACTACTCTACTCTAAAATAACATCATAAATAATACACTAACCAAACCTCATTACCAAAAACATACTCTAATCTAAAAACACCCAAAATATCAACACCAATAACACATACACAACACACAAATATATATATAACAACTCATAAATACAATCCCCATCCACACCCCAATTCTCCCACATACAACAAAAACCCAATTATAAACCCTACCTACCTAAATAACCATTTGCCATTCGCAGTAAACCATCCATCCATCCATTTTCTACCCCTTAATCCATTTCTGGGTCGGGGGGGTGGCAGTCAGAGCTGTCACCCAAGTCTCATAGCACCAGCCCCTCACTGACCCTCTGCAGGTGGTGAGTCCACAGGAGGACGGCTGCTCTGTCAACGTGAGCATAGCCGTGATCTCGGCAAAGTGGGGTTAAGTGTCTTGCCCAAGGACACAACAGCAGACATCAGTGGGAGTCGGTGGAGAAGGTGGGAATGGAACCCACGACCTTTAGGCCTAAAGGCCAATGCTCTACCAACTGAGCTACTGTCCAGTAGCAGCAAAAATGGCTAACGATTGAAGATGACACACACCAGAGCTCTTTCCACGGCGCCATACACCATGCGACAAATACTTAGCAGCAGAGCGCAAAACATACATTTACAAACACTGACATTGTTTGGGGAGACACATCACGCGCTGGATCTTTTTGATTGGATGAGCTGTCAGTTATATCCCACGTACATCAATATTCAGGCTTTATACCATGCATATTTTAAAGAATCATACACAGATATTTAAATCAATTGACTTAAGAAATGCCAAGAATGGTGTCGTTTACGTCAGTGTTCCCCAACCTTTTTGAGCCGTGGAACAACTTTTTTTCCTTTAAAACAATCATGCGGCACACCACCAGCTGAAACTGATGCAAACTGATGTTACTCCGCAGCCTTCATTAGCAAAAACAAAGTGCGTGTCATCAAAGTGTATTATATAGACCATCAGAGCAGTGCAAAGAAGTATTTATCATCTTTTTTTTTAAACATTATTCTGAGTTTTTGAAGTGATATTAATTTCCAAAGGCACACCGAATAACATCTCAAGGCACACTAGCGGTGAAAAACACTGGTTTATATCAAATACTGTTAGCAACATGAGCGCCCTGAAACATGAACACATAACTTACAACTCCACCTCATTCTGTCGTGATAAGACTTTGTTTATAGAAATTTGAAGCCGGAAATACTAACGACTTTCGAGTTCCAGCCCCGGACTTTTCCTCGGTGCAGTTTGAGCCCCTCTTGAGAAAATTCCTATCAAATTTACAGCCAATAACTGAACATGCTGAAGACTGTAGAGAGAGGAATACAACTCTCTGAAATTTGTTCATAACTGAGGTGTTTTTGCAAATGTACTCTTCGTGCGTCAGATCTCCTGGTTCTGTCACAAACTCATGACCTGCACAAACACAGTTATTAATGCATTTCCTCCTCTGGAATCTGTGTCATTTATAAGCGTCCTGTTGAAATGTGAAATTGACCTAAAAGATGGTTGTGACTTTGGTAAATCACGCCCTCTGCTCCAGACAAAGATAAAGTCTGTAACTGAAGCAGCACTGTAACTGGTTAGACCTGAACAGACTGAAACAAACCGTTTATTAAACTCATTTTTCAATCTGATTAGACGGCAGGGAGTGAGTCCAGGAGGAGGAATACACTGCAAAAACTGATATAATCTGTGGTAATAAATGTGGTATAATAAATGTGGTAATAATCTAGTGGTTTTTCTTTTATTTTGAGTGCATTCTCAGTGTTGCTTTGTTTCCTCATTCCAAGGAAGATATTTCTTAGTGTCTTTTTAAACCAAGACAAATTTGCTTGTCCCCTAGGCAAATCTTGTTTTGAAGGCTCAGTCAGAAAGAGCTCAAATTAAAATGACCTGAATTAAAAACCTTAAATTAATTGAAAAATTGAGATCATTGATTCAGCTTGTGTATTAATTCATTCTGTAAAAAGTGCTGAGGTAACACTGTGTGACGCTAGTTCTTCTCCACTTGCACAACGAGGGGCGGTGCTGTTGCAAACAGGCCACGCCTCCTCAAGCGCCTGCCCAGCGCAGGTAAACAAAACAGCATGGCAGAAGGAGGATCAACACAGAAAGTGGCTGTACCTCCTCTGGCTGTAACTGTCTCCTCAGTCTCTCCTCTCTCTCTTCCCTCTCTCCCCCTTCTCTGTCTCTTCCTTCCTCTGTATCTGTCTCTGAGACAATGGAACACCTCCAACTGAGATCATTACATGTCAAACATTTAAACTATTTGCACACATGCTGAAAACTCTTTTCTAAATCCTTTTAAATACAGTTGTGCCTCAAAAACACTTTAGCTATTGTCTGTGTTTCCCTCTGCAGGTATTATGCGGGCTGGGCCGACAAGTGGGAGGGGAAGACCATCCCCATTGACGGAGACTACTTCTGCTACACCCGCCATGAGCCTGTGGGCGTGTGCGGACAGATCATCCCGGTGAGAGCCCCCTCTGGCAGGACACTGGTACTGCAGGAGGAACCCATCATTAATGTACACTACAATATTTAGAGCAGGGTTTTTCAACCAGTGGGCCTTGGAGCTTTGCTGTTTGATGATAAAATATCACATAATCGGTAAAAAAAAAATTGTGAAAAGAAAATGGTGTGAGGAGATTAGAACAACACTTTTTGTGCTTGGTTTTCATTGTTCGTAAAAAGCTGCAGAGTTTCATGTGTGTATTACACACTTGCCACCTTTTTACTTTTTACTCACAGGGGACACTGTAATTAGAGGAAGTTGGGGGTAAGTTCAGAATGAGTCGAAAGTGTCCGACAGCTTCCACAGGTGACAGTTTCTGCCATGGCTTCAACGTCCTAAAGCTGAGGCACCTAACTTTGACATCACTCTAAACAAAACTAGTTTTGCGCTCTCAAAACACTTTGTTTTAGTCCTCAAGCAGTTTTTGCAGTTGTTTTTAGCTCCGCCCACACTAATGTACCATGAACCTGTGGCACAAACACGTCACCCCGACCCTTCTGTCTGAATGCTCCTCTCAAACTATGCCTCCACTTTAACCTCATTTGTTTTTCAAGCTTTGGCTTCAAATCAGTCGTGGGATTCCCTCCGGTAAAATGTTCTTTACTTGAGTTACTGCATGCAATGTTTGATGACAAAAACTGCAGAATATAATTTTCCGACATGCGCTGAAGAAGAGCCGTCAGGGCCGATACACAGAGCCTAGACCCGGTTCATTAAATTTGTATGAACTATCGAGAGAGCCTTGGATTTCCTCTTTTCTCACCATTGAGCCACGAAAGCGCTCGTCTCTCTTCCACCAGCAGAGAGCGGTGTTTTACTGAGCTCCTTCCTCTGAGATGTCGTGTGTTTCCTCCACAGTGGAACTTCCCGCTCCTGATGCAGGCCTGGAAGCTGGGCCCGGCTCTGGCCACGGGGAACACGGTGGTGATGAAGGTTGCCGAACAAACGCCACTGACCGCTCTGTTCGTGGCCAGTCTCATCAAAGAGGTCAGTGTCATCAGGGGGTCGGTCTCATCAGGAGGTCGGTCTCATCAGGGGGTCGGTCTCATCAGGAGGTCGGTCTCATCAGGAGGTCGGTCTCATCAGGAGGTCGGTCTCATCAGGAGGTCGGTCTCATCAGGAGGTCGGTCTCATCAGGTCGGTCTCATCAGGAGGTCGGTCTCACAAAATTGATAGTGGAGCAAAGTACTGTGGACTTGGAACTTCAATCCAGTGACGGATTCTAGGTCTTCACCTCTTAGCATTGGAGCGAACTGATTTTGTGTGTGTGTGTGTGTGTGTGTGTGTGTGTGTGCTCAGGTGGGCTTTCCTGAAGGAGTGGTGAACATCCTGCCGGGAATGGGCCCCTCCGCCGGAGCCGCCATCGCCAGACACATGGACGTGGACAAGGTGGCCTTCACTGGATCCACAGAGGTACTGACCTCACAAGAGACCAGGACCAAAGACCGCGAGGACCAAAGACCGCGAGGACCAAAGACCGCGAGGACCACAGACCGCGAGGACCACAGACCGCGAGGACCACAGACCGCGAGGACCACAGACCGCGAGGACCACAGACCGCGAGGACCACAGACCGCGAGGACCACAGACCGCGAGGACCACAGCCACAGACCGCGAGGACCACAGACCGCGAGGACCACAGACCGCGAGGACCACAGACCGCGAGGACCATAGACCGCGAGGACCAAAGACCGCGAGGACGACAATTACATTTTGTACAGCCCTTAATCACAACAGTAGTTATCTTGAGATCAGAGAATCAAAAGGTTCAAACAACTTTAAAAACCTGTCGACCCAGGACTGAGGCTGCTGCAGACCCAGGACTGAGGCTGCTGCAGACCCAGGACTGAGGCTGCTGCAGACCCAGGACTGAGGCTGCTGCAGACCCAGGACTGAGGCTGCTGCAGACCCAGGACTGAGGCTGCTGCAGACCCAGGACTGAGGCTGCTGCAGACCCAGGACTGAGGACTGAGGCTGCTGCAGACCCAGGACTGAGGACTGAGGCTGCTGCAGACCCAGGACTGAGGACTGAGGCTGCTGCAGACCCAGGACTGAGGACTGAGGCTGCTGCAGACCCAGGATTGAGGACTGAGGCTGCTGCAGACCCCAGGACTGAGGACTGAGGCTGCTGCAGACCCAGGACTGAGGACTGAGGCTGCTGCAGACCCAGGACTGAGGACTGAGGCTGCTGCAGACCCAGGACTGAGGCTGCTGCAGACCCAGGACTGAGGACTGAGGCTGCTGCAGACCCAGGACTGAGGACTGAGGCTGCTGCAGACCCAGGACTGAGGACTGAGGCTGCTGCAGACCCAGGACTGAGGACTGAGGCTGCTGCAGACCCAGGACTGAGGACTGAGGCTGCTGCAGACCCAGGACTGAGGACTGAGGCTGCTGCAGACCCAGGACTGAGGACTGAGGCTGCTGCAGACCCAGGACTGAGGACTGAGGCTGCTGCAGACCCAGGACTGAGGACTGAGGCTGCTGCAGACCCAGGACTGAGGACTGAGGCTGCTGCAGACCCAGGACTGAGGACTGAGGCTGCTGCAGACCCAGGACTGAGGACTGAGGCTGCTGCAGACCCAGGACTGAGGACTGAGGCTGCTGCAGACCCAGGACTGAGGACTGAGGCTGCTGCAGACCCAGGACTGAGGACTGAGGCTGCTGCAGACCCAGGACTGAGGACTGAGGCTGCTGCAGACCCAGGACTGAGGACTGAGGCTGCTGCAGACCCAGGACTGAGGACTGAGGCTGCTGCAGACCCAGGACTGAGGACTGAGGCTGCTGCAGACCCAGGACTGAGGACTGAGGCTGCTGCAGACCCAGGACTGAGGACTGAGGCTGCTGCAGACCCGGGACTGAGGACTGAGGCTGCTGCAGACCCGGGACTGAGGCTGCAGACCCGGGGCTGAGGCTGCAGACCCGGGGCTCCAGTGTTTTAAAACGGGCGGCACAGTGGTTCAGTGGTTGGCGCTTGTCTTTTCACAGCGACAAGTCCCTGGGTTCAATTCCACCTCCAGATCTTTCAGTGCACGTTTGCATGTTCTCCCCGTGTTTCCTCCAGGTGCTCCGGTTTCCTCTCCCACTAAAAACATGTACAACAGGTCTGGCATCTGCCTCCTGTACGGCAACCTGCTCCATCTCTGTGTGGACTGAGAGATAAATGTAAACGTGCTTTGTGACTCTGATCTGTGAATGGCGCCATATAAATAAATATTACTTACTGCTCACTGAAACCCTGTGTGCGTTTGCAGGTGGGTAAACTGATCCAGCAGGCGTCTGGCAGCAGTAACCTGAAGAAAGTGACTCTGGAGCTGGGAGGGAAGAGCCCCAACATCATCATGTCAGACGCCAACAGTACGAGCTCCAGCTTCTTCTTCTACTCCACTACTTTTGACTAGTTTTTTTAAAAATTATGAGATATTTTAGCGTCAAGGTAGAGTTTATGGAGTATTATTTTGACTCTATCAAGCTGTAGGACACTGGTTTATTGTCAGAATAGATGAAAGTGAATGAGTCACGGAGGCTAACGGTGAATGAGTCGCGGAAGCTAACGGTGAATGAGTTGTGGAAGCGGAGTCTGTGTTTTGTTGTGTATGCAAACTCTTTCTGTGTGTATCTCAGTGGCAGTGTTTGATTGTGTATGCTAACTCGTGTGTGTGTGTCTCTCAGTGGTAGTGTTTGGTTGTGTATGCTAACTCTCCTGTGTGTGTGTGTGTCTCAGTGGCGGAGGCCGTGGAGCAGGCCCACTTCGCCCTCTTCTTTAACCAGGGCCAGTGCTGCTGCGCCGGCTCCAGGACCTACGTCCAGAAAGACATTTACCAGGAGTTTGCGGAGCGCAGCGCAGAGAGAGCAAAGAGACGTGTGGTGGGGGACCCATTTGACGTGCGCACCGAGCAGGGGCCCCAGGTCTGTGGCTTCTCTCAAGTCGACCCTCTCTCCCCTCTTCTACCCTCTCTCCTCTCTCCCCTCTTCTACCCTCTCTCCTCTCTCTCCTCTTCTACCCTCTCTCCTCCCTCCCCTCTTCTACCCTCTCTCCTCTCGTCTCTATCCTCTCTTCCCTCTCTTCGACCCTCTCTCTTCCCTCTCCCCCCCTTCTACCCTCTCTCCTCTCCTCTCTCTCCTCCCTGCCCTCTTCTACCCTCTCTCCTCTCTCCCCTCTTCTCCCCTCTCTCCTCTCTCCCCTCTTCTACCCTCTCTCCTCCCTCTCCTCTTCTACCCTCTCTCCTCTCCTCTCCTCTCTCTCCTACCTCCCCTCTTCTACCCTCTCTCCTCCCTCCCCTCTTCTCCTCTCTACTCTCCTCTCTCTCCTCCCTCCCCTCTTCTACCCTCTCTCCTCCCTCCCCTCTTCTACCCTCGCTCCTCCCTCCCCCTCTTCTCCTCTCCTCTCTCTCCTCACTCCCTCTCTTCTACCCTCTCTCCTCTCCTCTCTCTCCTCCCTCCCCTCTTCTACCCTCTCTCCCCTCTTCTACCCTCTCTCACCTCTTCTACCCTCTCTCACCTCTTCTACCCTCTCACCTCTCTCCCCTCTTCTACCCTCTCCCCTTCCTCCCCTCTTCTACCCTCTCTCCTCCCTCCCCTCTTCTACCCTCTCTCCTCCCTCCCCTCTTCTACCCTCTCTCCTCCCTCCCCTCTTCTACCCTCTCTTCCCTCTCTTCGACCCTCTCTCTTCCCTCTCCCCCTTCTCCTCCATCTCCTATTCTGCCCTCTCTTCGTACTGTCGCTCCTCTCGCCCCTTTCTCCTTCCTCCCCTCTCTCCCCTCTTCTACTCTCTCCCCTCTTCTCCCCTCTCTCCCCTCTTCTACCCTCTCTCCTCCCTCCCCTCTTCTACCCTCTCCTCCCTCCCCTCTTCTACCCTCTCCTCTCTCTCCTCTTCTACCCTCTCTCTCCTCTTCTACCCTCTCCTCCCTCCCCTCTTCTACCCTCTCTCCTCTCTCTCCTCTTCTACCCTCTCCCCTTCCTCCCCTGTTCTACCCTGTCTCCTCCCTCCCCTCTTCTACCCTGTCTCCTCTCTTCCCTCTTCTACCCTCTCTCCTCCCTCCCCTCTTCTACCCTCTCTCCTCCCTCCCCTCTTCTACCCTCTCTTCCCTCTCTTCGACCCTCTCTCTTCCCTCTCCCCCTTCTCCTCCATCCCCTATTCTGCCCTCTCTTCGTACTGTCGCTCCTCTCGCCCCTTTCTCCTTCCTCCCCTCTCTCCCCTCTTCTACTCTCTCTCCCCTCTTCTCCCCTCTCTCCCCTCTTCTACCCTCTCTCCTCCCTCCCCTCTTCTACTCTCTCTCCTCTCTACCCTCTCTCTTCCCTCTCTTCTATTCACTCGCCCCTCTCTCCTCCCTCCCCTCTTCTATCTTCTCCTCTCGTCCTCCCTCTCACCCCCATTTCTCCTTTCTCCCCTCCCCTCTCTTCTACTCTCTCCTCTCGCTCCTCTTCTCCCCTCGCCCCTCTTCTCCCCTCGCCCCTCTTCTCCCCTCGCCCCTCTTCTCCCCTCGCCCCTTTTCTACCCTCTCTCCCCTTTCTCCTCCCCTTCCCTCCCCCTCCCTAGACCAAACCTTGATGTCTCTGCAGTTCCATGACTGGAGGAAGAATAAAAAGTTGTGTGTTTGCAGGTGGACCAGGAGCAGTTCAATAAGATCCTGGGCTACATCAGCAGTGGGAAGAAGGAGGGGGCGCGGCTGCTCTGTGGGGGGGGCGTGGCAGCAGACCGGGGGTACTTCATCCAACCCACAGTGTTCGGAGACGTGCAGGACGGGATGACCATCGCCCGAGAGGAGGTAGGGCTCGCACTGGGCAGGGTCCGAGAGAGACTCCTGTCCTCTTCATCCATCGTCAGAGGCACAACAGAAGCTCGTTCCTCTGCAGACCTGAGTCGACGCCCCTGGAACTGCTCCAGTGGCTTTATTAGTTACTGCTTTTTTAGTTCTAAGGTTCTCTGCCTTAGGTTTCAGGCTGTAACCTTTCCTTATTTCTGATCAAACCAGTGCCTAAAAGGTTAATACAGACACTCGACAAACTACAGTTTTCATTCCACGTTGGAAATAGTTTGTAAAATAATGTGTTCTACATTAAAGTCAATGTAATGAGTTGAATGTGTTTGTGTGACTGTGTGTGCGGTGTGACTGTGTGTGTGTGTACTGTGTGACTGTGTGTGTACTGTGTGACTGTGTGTGTGTACTGTGTGACTGTGTGTGTGTACTGTGTGACGGTGTGACTGTGTGTGCATACTGTGTGAGCAGATCTTCGGTCCCGTGATGCAGATCCTGAAGTTCGACACTCTGGAGGAGGTGATAGAGCGAGCGAACGACTCTCAGTACGGACTGGCAGCTGCTGTTTTCACCAAAGACCTGGATAAGGCCAACTACGTGTCCAGCGGGCTGCGGGCGGGGACCGTGTGGTGAGTGTGTGTGTGTGTGTGTGTCTCTCTGTGTGTGTTTGCGTACAGAGTCCTGTCTCTGTGAGTGTGTATCCTGTGTCCTCAGGATAAACTGCTATGACGTGTTCGGGGCCCAGGCTCCGTTCGGAGGATACAAAGCGTCAGGAAACGGACGTGAGCTCGGAGAGTACGGTCTGGAGGGCTACACCGAGGTCAAGACGGTGAGAGTCACATCTGCTTTATCACACACACAGACACACACACGACAAGACAATTCTGTTTAAACTGATGGAACGTGTGTGAATAAGTGGCAACCACACCGTTTCTGTGATTGGTCAGGTCTGACTTGTTCTACTGTGGTCTTTAGTTTCCTCTTGTTTTTCAGGTGACCATGAAAGTGCGGCAGAAGAACTCTTAACTGCAGATCTGCACCAGCCTCAGCACCTGTCAATCAATCACCTGTCAATCCTGTATAAAAGAAAACAATAAATCTATTTCACTAATGTTTGTTCACTTGTGTGAGTTTATTATTAATTACAACACAACCCCAGCAGTTCCACAGCAGCTGAGACAGAAGTTGGTTCTGTACTTTAACATTTGGTCTTTTCAAAATTGGAGTCCTTTAATCTGCTCATTTAGAAATTAAAGACCATTAAGATGATGCTCTTGGACCATGCTTTTCTTTCATTATTGAAATACTATGGTGTGAACTACTGTAGCCACATCTGCCTCAGGACAGACTGATATCACAAAGCTGCTAATGTGTCGTTAGCCTCTGACTACATCCTCACTGACCCCAGGCCTGCAGAGGGCAGTGTGGGTGTTTAGCTAAAGCACTTGATAGTACTGCACTTTACTCATGTATCTTTACTGCTGCCTCAGAGCAAAGTGAACAGAGGGGGCTCAAGGCAAGGCAAGTTTATTTGTATAGCACAATTCATACACAAGGCAACTCAAAGTGCTGAACAAAACAAGAAAGCATTAAAATCATAAATTTTAAAAAACAGTACATTAAAACAAAATTAAAAAAAAAAAGATAAAAATATAAAATCCCTCAGTTGTATGCACAGCTAAACAGAACCGTCTTTAACCTGGTTTTAAACATTGTCAGAGAGGAGGCCTGTCTCACATCTTCAGGAAGACGGTTCCAGATTTTAACAGAGGTCTCAGAGGTCTCCCATCACAGAACTAACCTGCTCTTTCTTACACTTAAAAAAAAATAAGAGCAGTATTTCCAGTGTTGACCTGTAGGTGGAGACATTCTGATTGCACAGGAGTCTTGCACTAATTAAGTTTGTGCACAGGAGCTGAATGACTAAATACAAGTCTGATGATAGTTAAGAAAACTCATTTACAGAGATCTATTATTTAACTTTGGTGATTTTCCAAGTTTGGCCAAACTTCACTCAACAGAAGACATTCTCTGGGAAGAATGTTTTAAAACGGTTTAGTACATAGATGGTTGCTAGATTCGTCCAGGGTCAGACTGAGACCGGTCCAGGGTTTGAGTCCATGAAACAGGGACAGCAGCAGCATCTGACAGGGTACGTGTGGGGCCTTGTGCTCTCCTCCGCCAGAGATTAAAAATACCCTGAATAATTTATTTTCGAGCTGAATTTTGTTTTCCTAACTTGACCCTTGATCATCTAGACCCTAATTTATGCTGTTTTCCACTTACTTGTAATGACCTGGGCAGCACAAGGGTCATCGGAGCACTGTTTCTTGTTTGACATATCAGGACTTATCATCCCCCTTATACCCACACATACCATGTGGGACCTCTGCTCTCTACCAGCTCCTGTCAGACAAAAATCCATAGGTTTGAAGCTCTCTGTAGCTTGTAACTATGTTTAGTGTTATTAAATGTCCTTTTATATCTATTTGGTTTAATACAAAGTCACAACTAAATGAATCTTTAACATTGTGGATTAAAAGCATTGAAGAAAAATCTGTAACATGTGTTTTTATCTGTCCCAGAGCAAAGTCCAGCTCTCACCGATTAGTGTTTTTACAAAGAACAAGTGACAGTTCATCTTACAGTACTTCAGAAAGACCAGAGGCAGAACACAACTCTAACTTCATCACAAGATAGAAGTTGTCGTTCTTTCACCATAAAAAACACTAACAATGATAAAAACCAGGACACACAACTTTGAGCTCCTTTATTTCTCATTTCTAACGTGAGTCTGTATGCAACTGTGTGTGTAAAACATAACTTTTTTGCCACCACATATTGTCACCGTCGTTCATAAAAAATCTTAAAATATTTCCCAAAAGTTCTAGTTAATATTTTTGCACATATATCTCCATGGGTAGATCGGTGCATTGTTTACAGCTGACCTCACATGTCGTGGATCTGTGCAATAATCTGAATGTGCAATACAGAACCACATGTGTCCGTCCCAGAGCCTCATGCTGCTGATCACCTGTGTCTGCACTAGAATATACAGGATCTTATTGTGCTATAGTTTGAGATCTATTATTTTAGAATAGTTATAGTTCATTTGTGCCGTGTGCTCCTCATTCTTATTCTGTAACTGCTGACGCAACACTGACATTTCCCCACTGTGCGACCAATAAAGGGTCTCTTCATCCTAATCTTAAAACCCGCTAAATTACTAACATTTGATTTATCCTCTTGATAGTTTGCAAGCTTCACTCAACATTAACCAGACTTTAAGTTTGTTTTATTTCTACAACAGGAGAGCAGCAGGAGAAAGTTCATGGCCCCATCTGTCAATCATCTTTCTCCACAGACAGCGATCCTTAAAGGCTTCGGAAACACTTTAGATTAGCCCTCCCCAATATACAGCTAATCTAATCAAGTGCTAATGACTGTACCCTAACCACATGGGAAAGTGTCCGTTATATGCAGAATAAGGACTAATAAATGCTTAATAAATACCAATTAAGAGCTAATTAACCATATATTATTGACTGATTAACAGTGTGGACCCGTTGACCTGGAGAAGATTCAGGAAAAGCTTTGTAACGGATCATGTTCACAGAGAGTCAGCTGTTGGGGCCAGTGCTTGTCCTGTTCTCCAAGGGGTTCACAGGGGTTTGGTCCAGAGGTTGGGTCTCTGGCTCCTGCATGGGCCTCCTCTCTGGCTCCTGGCCCTGGATGCTCCTCTCTGGGTCCTGGTTTTGGTCCTGGATGCTCCTCTCTGGCTCCTGCGTGGGCCTCCTCTCTGGCTCCTGGTTTTGGCCCTGGATGTTCCTCTCTGGCTCCTGCGTGGACCTCCTCTCTGGCTCCTGCGTGGGCCTCCTCTCTGGCTCCTGGTTTTGGCCCTGGATGTTCCTCTCTGGCTCCTGCGTGGACCTCCTCTCTGGCTCCTGGTTTTGGCCCTGGATGTTCCTCTCTGGGTCCTGGCTTTGGTCCTGGCCTTGGCCCTGGATGTTCCTCTCTGAGTCGGTGCTTTGGACCTGGGCTCCTGTGCGTCTCACTGACACCTGCTGCTCCCCCGTCAGAGCGCCACCTACAGGTGTGGAACAAGGGAAACATCAGATGCTATGGGTTAAGGCACAGTAAGTGTATTCTTGGACATGCTGCTATAATTTTAGGTCAAATAATAAGAATTAATAATTTTATCATAATGTCATAATCATTGAAATTGACAAAAGAAATGTCATGTGGATGAGGGCAACAGTTACTGCAGGAGAGTGATGTAAGGTCACTATGGCATCATATCAGTATCATAAAGACCTGCTCCTCTGCTCCTCATGGACACAGCCTCCTCCTGCTGCAGCTCCTTTGTTGGACTTTCTCCTCTGCTCCTCATGGACACAGCCTCCTCCTCCTGCTGCAGCTCCACTGTTGGACTTTCTCCTCTGCTCCTCATGGACACAGCCTCCTCCTGCTGCAGCTCCTTTGTTGGACTTTCTCCTCTGCTCCTCATGGACACAGCCTCCTCCTGCTGCAGCTCCTCTGTTGGACTTTCTCCTCTGCTCCTCATGGACACAGCCTCCTCCTGCTGCAGCTCCTCTGTTGGACTTTTTCCTCTGCTCTTCAAGGAGACAGCCTCTTGCTGCTGAAGCTCCTCCTTCTCTGTTGGACCCGCTTTATGGATATTCAGAGCCTCCTGCTGCTCCTCCTTCTCTGTTGGACCCGCTTTATGGATCCTCAGAGCCTCCTGCTGCTCCTCTGTAGAACCTGTTTTATGGATATTCATAAATGGCTGGACCTTGTGATGGTGAGTCAGATGGAAGGAAGGGCTGCTGACCCACGGCTTTACAGCTGCAGACAGAATAAAAACAAAGAAGAGCTCAAGGCGGCCGTAGAGCAACCAACACACACGAAAGAATCAAAAGAATCAGTGGCAGCAGACAGTACATGCATGTGTCCTGTAGGAGACAGTACTTACGGTCCTCAGGGGCCCCACACACAGAGTCACAGCAGGAACACACTGAGGAGAAGGAGGGCTCCAGCTCCTGCCACCTGCACAGGATACACACACACACAGACCATAATACTACAGGTGATGTCACGTGCCAAGAGACAGGTACACTCATGATGACCTGGAGAGAGGATGGTCTCGTTCTGGTCCTTCCTCACACACTGAGCTGGTGGATTCAAACAACTCTATATTCAACAAACCTCACGACACACACTGAACACTCCGACCAAATATACACAACAAACTAATTCTTTCATGTGAATCAGGTGAAGACTGTTCTATAAGTTCACACAAGGTGCTTTTAACTCAACAAAACAAAATTAACCTTTTTGAATCAAGTCCCAAGGGACATAGCTTTGCATAATGACAGCGTAACAAGCTGTGGAGCTGTGTTTGGGGGAGTGAAGCTCTCGCCATCTGTTGCACGTGCTGCTCTTTCCTTTATAAAGTTGTCCTTATTAAAGCATGTTGGAAAATATCCATTAAACCAACTCCCTCTGGTCTTGGTGCACTGAGCTCGTCTGAAAAGCACTGGTCCACACAGGTCTGTAGTGAGTAAGGGTTTAAAGTTACTTCTGCCCTCTAACTGTGGTCCCCATCTTTTTGGAGAGCCGTGATGACAAGAGACACACGACCTCACATGTCATGTATCTGTGCAATAATAATAATGTCAGAATGTGCAATACAAAACCACATGTGTCAATGTCTGTGTCCCAGAGCCTCATGCTGCTAATGTACAGATGTAAACATCCATCCATCCATCCATTTTCTACCCCTTAATCCATTTCTGGGTCGGCAGGATGGCAGTCAGAGCTGTCACCCAAGTCACAGGGCACCAGCCCCTCACTGATCCTCTGCAGGTGGTGAGTCCACAGGAGGACGGCTGCTCTGTAAGTGTGAGCATAGCCTTGATCTTTGGGCAAAGTGGGGTTAAGTGTCTTGCCCAAGGACACAACGACAGCAGACATCAGTGGGAGTTGGTGTCAGGGTGGGAATTGAACCCACAACCTTCAGGCCTAAA